AGTTATTGTTCATAATAAAAGTTTTCATAAAACTTACTGATCTCAGATTCTGTTCTCTAGGAAAGGAATGGTTACAACTATGGAGACATCACTATCACTGGCCCAAAGACTAAAAGCTGAAAAAGGAAGCTGAGGTACCATTTTAGAGGGCTCATTACGATAAATTTTTTCCTCCAAAATACCTCCTGCCAATCTACAAAGAAATACAAGTATATGGAGAGTATGAAATACAACACAATTTGATTAACTACTAGAACAACCAAAGACAATGCAAAATTTTGTTTACTAGACATACCCATTCATGATCGTACTAGAAGAAATAAACAGAAAGAAGAGAAAGAAGGGAGGGAAGGAGAGAGGGAAAGAGGAGAGAAATCTTTACCAGTCAAATCTTTTTCAGTCAAAAAGCAGAACTAATAAACTTCTCAGGAGTTTATAAATTAAATAAAAATGGATCTCTGTTATCTCGTTTATGTTTTTTCCCCAAAAAATTAACAATTATCTTTCTTCATGAACATATTAGATTTTTTGATTGACAGCCCACATTCAACCAAGCCTACCTTCTAAGATACCCACAAACCCAATTTTCCATAGGGAATAACACTGTCAAATGCTAAAGCAGGATTTCCCATGGACTGGAAAATGAAGATCTCTTTGACAACCACAAGCATACACACTCACTTGCTGAAGCCACGCCCTGTGATAAAGAACCTCAAACTCCAGGAGAACTTTGGCCATCCTATTGTAACTGCGAATGATAGGTTTGGCCTCAGCTGTCTGTAGCACATTTGGGTGCTGCTGGAAAAGTTGCATTGGTTCCTGGATTCTGTGGAAGAGCTGACGGGCCCACAAAATCTTCCCAGCAATAGGAGGCTGGTCTCGAGCCATAGGAGGATCATATTTGTGCTTTGTATAGAGTTTTGAAACCATGTCAATGTCAGCACCATAGTTCTCGAGGATAAGCCGGTATTTGTCATCAATACCAAGATTAGGTATATTCAATCTGATTTAATAAAAAGTAAAAGACTTTAATGGGAATGTGTCTAATAATCTTGTTTACTAGAATTATTTTAAAACATATGCTATTGCTGGAATAGAATGAGATATCTGTGTGTTGTAATTAAAGAATCAAAATAGCATCAATTCTTAACATATAGGCAAAACTAACTGTGTGAGAATTTTTTCAAATTACTGACACTAAGAAATATTACCATAGTAGTTACAAGTTACTTCAAAATTAATAATATTCTCTATATGTAGAAGTAAGACAAACCCTTAATCCTCTGAAGAACTTTTTTAAAAGCTGTGACCTTGTTACCCAGATTGTCTTTCTTCCAATTAGAATATGAAATAATAATATGACATAACATAGGAAGCTCTGAGCATAATACCTAAGGCAACTGACTGCTAACCAGAAGGCTGGCAGTTCAAACCCACCAGCCACTCCTCGGAAGGAAGTCTGGGCAATCTACTTCTGTACAGATATCGCCTTAGAAACCCAAGGAGGGGTCACATACATTCATCTTATATGTTCACCTTATACCAATTTTATCAAATAAAGATTTTTGAAAATTACTTCAAATTTTTACCTTTCAAATTTCTTTAACATACTTAGAGCTTGATTTGTGTTTTGAATCTTTTCAAATGTAACATCCATGAACTTCTGCAACTCATTCTAAAATAAAATAAAATCTGATTAGTAGTCATGAATTAGTACTGGGAAAAGTTCTCATTATCAATGAGATAAAGGAGCTCCCATTCTCTACAACCATATATCACACAAGACAGAATAGAATAGAGGACCTACCTGCAGAAAGCCAGAAGTGCTGCCCACCTCATGTAGAGGGGATTAAATTACTCTGCCCACAGCTGGGGAGAGCTGAAGGAGCCTGCCACCTCCGAGAGCTATGAGTGAGAAAAAGGGGCCACACTACAGCAGGGCCCCTATACATTCTTTTTGTGAAAGGACAGATAATAAATATTTTTTGCTTTCCAAGATGTAGATCTCTTTCATAACTAATCAATTCTGTCATTGTAATGCAAATGCAGATATAGATAACCCATAAAGTAATAGATAGGGCTGGATTTGATCGTGGAGGCTGGATTTGGACCTTGGGTCATAGTGGGCTAACCGTTATCCTAGAGCAATTGAAATCTGTGCTGATGTCACACACAGATAATGGGTCCAAGTCTCTATTACATACGAGATAAGGGAGTCCAAACCAAGAAGTTAACATGAAAGCTAGGTTACGGTGGTAAAATCTTGAGTGCCTCAGCAGAAGTAGCTACAAAGCCATTCTGTACAATACTTCCAGAACCTAATTCCACAAGACCTCCACAGAAAACAATAATAGTAATAACTCCTGAAGAGGATAAACTCAAAAAAATTTGCAAACCATGTAAGTTAATGAACCCTGAGGAAGAGACAGCAGATGCCATAAACAGAATTAGTACCCCAAGAGGACAATACAAGAATCTGAAAAAGATTATAAACGAAGTATGTTTAAAATTATTTTAAAAATAAAGCAAAAATAGACACCATAAAAAGAGCATCACAGGGTAAAATAAGAAGTCATATTAAAAGAAAAATAGAACATCTACATGTAAAGAAAAAAATCGTTACAATTCAAAATACAATGGGTACGTGTCAGTGAATCCTGAAAATAAAAGTAACGAACTGCAAGAGAGATCTAAGAAAAATAACCTAGAATGCAGCAAACAACTAGGAAAACAAAATGGAGACCACAAATAAGAGGTTAACAAATATTGAAGATAAAAAAAAGAAGTCTAACATACATCTATTGAGAATTCAGAAAGAAGAGCCAAAATATTTCAAAATAATGGCTGAGAACTTTACATTATCAGAAAAAAAGATTTGCATCCTTACATTATGGTATCATATCAAAACCCAGAAAGGGAAATTTAAAAAAGAAAAGAAAATCCACACCAAAAACTCACACAGAGAATACCAGAGACAAGAAGAAAAAAATAATATTAAAAGCAACCTAAGGAGAAAATTAACTATTCAAAAACTCACTATCGTCAAGTTGATTCGACTCATAGTGACCCATGCTTGAGTTTCTGAGGTGGTATCTCTATGGAAGTAGATTGCCCAATCTTCCTTCTAAGGAGCGGCTGGTGGATTTGAACTGCCAGCCTTCTGGTAAGCAGT